TCGCCTGGATTGTCCGAGTTGCGAGCACCGAAACCAGAATGATCAATTGCCCCTGGCATCCTCCCCGGTACCCCACATGGCCAGGAACACCGGCAAAATCGCCAGGTGAGAAAAGCTTCTTGGAGAGCGAACCAGTCCTTGCAGGCAATATACCTGAAATTGGAGTCAGCCTTCTACAAGCCTCAGCCCTGCACGAGCCATGAGGCTTGTTTTCGTCGATCTGGGAGTTAGCATTAGTTTGCCCATAGGCCCCAAAGTAGTTCCTCTTTGATATAGATTCCTATTAAGTAGTCCCAAAAAGGAACTACTATGGCGCCTATGGGTGGGCAAGAGCTGCGAATCTCCGTATCGGCTTCCAAGGTCCCACAGCCTTTCTTGTTCAGCGTGGGTCGTCGCAAGTCGCAAGTCGACTCAGTGCTTTTTTCGGGCTGCAAAGGTTTCCAAAGGCCCGGTAGAAGGCCAATGACTTGAGGGGCACAAACCCCTACTGTAAACGAGCTTAAAGAAAACAGAAAGACAGCTGACATGCAGGCAACCAACTCGTGCATCATTTATCCGTTTGCCAAGGACAACACGAAGTATCTCCCTTTGGGCTGCTTGGCAGAAGATGATCTTGGAGATAAGAGTTCTTTCCCAGAATTACCAGCCTAAACACTTCTGGGGTCGAACATCATAGTGGTCAGCTCCTGTTTTCGGGCCTTGCAGCTGGGTTTGGCTGAGAAGCCTCGTGCCGTCAACGGACAGACGCCTCCATGGTCGCATAGACATACATGCAAAATCTGGCATACCTTCAAATCTTCCAGACCCAGTTGTTTTTTCTTGGTTGCTCCGTTGTTGCAGCATCGACTTTGTTTTACTGCCCACGTTTGTGTACTCGTATCTTTCAATTTATGTCGCATTCGTGTACCGTGTGCATGTACGTGTCGCCGACCACTTGTGCAGACAGTTCAATCGCTAAGCCCTAGATACGCTGGCTTGTGGACACAGGCCTCGTTTGAGCAGTCCGCCTTTGAGCGCCGAAACCCTAAGCTAAAGTCTGACTTGAAACCTGGGATGAGTGCGAGTTCCGGGTCTCAGGGCTTGGCGTCCCGTTTTGGGGCTTAGAAGCGGGTTGAGGGTTTGGGCTTCAGGATTCAAGTTTGATGGGGTTTGGGCTTTGAGTTGAGAGTAGGCGCCTTGGGTGAAAGACAAGCAGAACCCACACTTCGCACAGTTTGTTCGCTTGTTGGTCTAAAGCCCCGTGACGGGCAAGATGGTCAGAAAGGATCCCCTGAGCCGTGGATTATGGGCTCTACGCACCCAGAGCCAAGCCTTCACGTCTCCTGCGAGTTGTTGTCCTTGCGCTGACCCAAACCCTAAGCCCTAAACCCTAAACCCTAAACCCTAAACACATGTAACCTATAACCCTGCTTCGCGACTCGCTCAGCCATGTAGGAGGCAAAAAACCCTAAACCCTAAACCAACAACAGTTCCCTGAAGAGTCCCGAAGACTTCGATTTGCCTCGTAGAAGGGGCCCCTTCCTCGGCGACCCCAGAGTCTCCGGGACCCATATTCTCCATGGTAGTTCCTCTTGGGGGATACCTTATGAAATCCTTAATATATTCGGTTAAACCAAACAAAGGAACTACAATGGAGACTATAGGTAGAGATTCTACGTCGTGGGGTGGGCCCGGCACTCACTGCTTCGCAGAAAGCAGGTCCGATGTCTGCGGTGCAGCGCCAGAATGAGCTACGCCTGCACAACCGTTGGCTTCAGCTCCCTGGCACCGAGTTTTCTATATACATACATACCATAAAAGGGTCGAAAAAAAAGGCCCAGATGAAAGGAGAGCAAGCTGGCGCAGCTTTCGGGTTTGACTAGCACGGTCGCGTTGAGTAATGGATGCGCACTCAGGTTGTCCATGCAGTACGACCCCTATGCCGCCATAAGCGAGCTCAGGACGCCTACCTGCGTGTTGGACAAGACATCACATGATATGTAGTTACTAGTTGAATTTGTGGGTGAGCCATCCATTACGGACGGATCGTGGAGTCCTTGCAACCCCTTCCCCGATGCAACTAGCCCCGCCCTGGTTGCCTGTAGTGGGAGTCAGATCAGCCAGTCGGGCAATTAAATTCACTAACTTGCACGCAGCTTCAAGGCGGACGCTATGAGGATGTCTCTGACAGAGGTAGCCATATACTGGGTTGCATTCAACCGACATGTACATAGGTCACGAAATAGTTTTGAACGGAAGGCTTCGGAAAGAGATATGCCACGTGTATATGCATACATTATATGTAATGTATGTTTTGTTATTTATCTACTAACATATTCGTTTATCATTTATCTATTTAGAGAGAGAGAGTGTGTGTGTGTGTGTGACAGCGAGAGAGAGAGAGAGAGAGAGAGAGAGAGAGAATGAGTCAGAGAGAGAACAGAGCGGCCCATGCGGTGGAAGCTCCGGAGGGCGCATCCCGTAAAAGACATTTGTGGCTTGTGTGTGACTTGGGAATTGGGGGATTTGGGTGGTTTAGGGCTTGGGGAGAAAGGTTTGGGAAATTTGGGAGAGCGAGAGGGAGATAGAGTAGAAACAGCACCGAAGACGCCGCCATAAGTTGAATCCACAAGGGATGCTTCAGGCCTGCGTTGGCGCCCTGAGAATCTTGCACTTGCCGCGATGGAAGACCCGTAACTCCAACATTTGTGCATTGTTGCAGCCAGGTTTGTGAGATTGCCCAAACCAGGCATGTTGCATGTGCGAAGATCCGCGGCCCTCCAGTCTAGCACGAACAACAGCCGCCTGTGAAATCATGTCTCGCCTCATCGTTAGGGACGACAAGTCCGCTTTACCGGACTCTGGCAGGCCAAGGGTGTTCGAATGAAAAGGGGCTGCTTCTATTGCCTGTTCGGTCACACACAGTCGCTCCAGACCTTGGACACTTCTGCTTCTCAGGCCAAGGCTGTGACCCTGTCGCTTCGCAGTCGCTTCGCAGTGCATGAGAACGTACAGGCAAAGCATCCACAACATACCCCCACTCCATCCCTCACCCTCTCAGCCCTAAACCTTAGACACTCCCGGCCCTAAACCCCACACCCTCCCAGTGTCACGCAGGACTAACATTCGCTCAGCTAGCCCAACACAGTATGTGAAGCAGCGGGTCTCCGTCGACTCTCTCGAACCAGAGTCTTGGCTTTTGAAAAGCCTACTTGTGAAGCTTAACTGTTAGATTCTGCATATGCAAGCAATAATGCATAGTATTTATACATATATATATATATATGTACATGTTTATGTGTATGTAATGTAATGTAATGTAATGTAATGTAATGTAATGTAATGTAATGTAATGTAATGTAATGTAATGTAATGTAATGTAATGTAATGTAATGTAATGTAATGCGATGTAATGTAATGTAATGTAATGTAATGTAATGTAATGTAATGTAATGTAATGTAATGTAATGTTAATGTCATGTTAATGTCATGCAGTGTACTGTAGTGTGGTGTATGTAATGTAATGTAATGTAAGTATGTCAAGGAAAGTAAAGTAATATTATGTAGTGCAATGTAATGTAAGGTAAGATAAGGTAAGTAAGTCAGTTAGTTAGTTAGTTAGTTAGTATGTATGTATGTATGTATGTATGTATGTATGTATGTGTGTATGTGTGCGCATGTCTCTCTGTGTATATATATATATATATATACAGATATTTGAAAGTTGTGCCCGGTGGGTCTCAGCCTCCCCCTGCCCCCCCCTTTCCCCCGATGGTATCATGTTTTTGTGGAACGGCTCGGGCGTGCAGCGGTTTAGTTCCCTCCCCCCTTCTGTGGAATGGTTGGGTGGCTTAGACCTCCTCCAAGTACTTCTGCGTGTGGTCATCCCGCGTTTGGTCCTTGAGCTTCGGCGTTTAGTTCTCCGAGCGTTCTCTGCCTGCCATTTATCTCTGGAATGGTCGGGTGCTTCAGGCTGCAGGGTTGAGACTTCAAGCTTCAGGCCGATGGAAAAAGGGGGCGGGGGCACGGGGGGCAGGGGAATACGGTTTGAAGGGGTGCAGAATGAAGAGGTTGCTTGAAGGTTTGCCTTGAGTACTGTCTAATCTGGACGCCAGACCTGTGCTCGTAGTCCCTGTCCCTTTATTTGCGTATTGCCTTCCGGGGTTCTTGTACAACCCTGGCATCCCATGTCCTACACTTACAGCAATATCCGATTGGGAAGTGCTTGCTGTCACCTGCAATACATTGACACTGGGACCCAAGCGTGTATCATCCGATACATCTCACTACACATTTCACATGACTGCGTATGCATACAGAAGTAAACTTATATGCACACAAAACAATGGCATATCATCAGATGTATAGTTGCTGATGTGTACATGTTGTAGTTATATCATTGACCGCTCAGATTACCAGGTTTTCAGCTATTGGCATCAACCGTGGCTTCAGAGCTGTCACTAGTCAGAGATCCCATATTCACATTATGGTGGTAGCGGCGAGGGTTTTGCACCGCGTTTCCCAAAAGCCTGTCAAGCTAAGCCCTGAGGTGCAGGCTCTTTGTTGCGAGCTTCCCATCTTCCGTTTGTCCTTCCCACTCCGTGAGATGTAAACAGCATCCTGTCATCCTCCCGAATTTCTTTAAAACAGCTTCGGGGTGTGATTGTCAACAAGTACACTGAAGCGACGAAGCTTGAGACCCTGGCCCTACCAGTCCGGGATTCCAACGATGAATTTGTTTTAGGGTTCCTGGTTTTATCTGCTCAGAACCTGCGAGAACATACCCCAAAGCCCGAGTCCAAGCAGTAGATGAAGGCCCTTATCGGTCCTTCTATAAGATGAGCCCGAGTCTCTTAAGGAGTTACAACATAACCCTAAAGCCCTATTCTACTCAGTAAGGCCCCTAGACGACCCCCCTTTTTTAAGATGAGCCTTTCGTCTCTAAACCCTAAACCCTAAACCCTAAACCCTAACTAAGGAGCGAGAGCCTGTGGAGAGCAAGAGCCGCCTCCATCCGAACGGGGCGAGGAGAATTGCCTGGGCAGACCGGCCGGCAGTTCTTGGGTTTAAGGTTTTGGGTTTTGGGTTTTGGGTTTAGCGTTTTGGGTTTTGGGTTTAGGATTTAGGGCCCGGCTGCCCTAAGATGGTATAAAAGGTGGTCTGAGCATGAGTAACAAGAGTATCCCTTTAGGGTCTCTGCATATTTGTGCTTTGATGTCGGTGCCACTTCATTCCGGCTTTGCGGGAAATGTAAAACTGTAGACTGTAGGCCATCAGAACAATTTGATCTCAGATGGTGTGCTAATTATGAGGCCTGGGGCCTCAGGGGCAAAGAACCCCAAAGGGTAATCGGCGAGTTTGGTGCAAGCTGCCATGCAACGCAGGGATTTTAACATCAGCCAGGCTCTAAACCCTAAACCCTAATTTAACCAGTGGCCAAGATTGTCCGAGTGTGCGCGCCTAAACCACTCGCTGGACATGGGAGAAGAGGCGTTTAAAACCACAAAGAACCAGTCTCTGCGTTGTCGGAATCTGCCTGTCATTGCCAAGGACCTGTTGAGCTCCTTCGTCCTTGTGATGGACACGATCCTGCTTCCCATCTCCTTGGCCTGGGACCTGCAGAAGGACGTTAGGGTTTAGGGTTTAGGGGCAGATGAATGTCTGAATATGGAAGCAATCTGAAATTAGTCTTGCCTGTGAACCTCCTTCTGTGAGTGTTGCAACTGAATCTGCATTCCCGGTTCCTGCACAAGCCCTGAACCCCGGCTGTTTATCTTGTGGCTCTCCGAGCGCCGCCTTGTTGCCCCACAAGCTGCATAAGAGGACACGACCGACACGCCAAGCTGGGTGAAGCTTGGATGTTCTGCAGGCCTTTCGATCGAGTTCTTGTTGTAACATGATATGATATGATATGATATAACATTAGTTATTCCCCAACAGCGGATACGCT